TTTTATTTTTCACACCCTCTTTTTTCCTCCAGGGGGTGGTTTGCGTTGTAATCACCTAGATAGTTTAAAAAATGAAATATTTTGGTTTTTAAATTTTTTATTTTTTTTTTTTGATGTGGATAGTCAAATGCAGTTGCGTAGGGGTTGTAAACCCTTCTAGGCTTTTGCATAGTGCATGTAAAGATTTTTTTCAACCCCGCACGCATTTTTTTCCTGCCCGAAATCAAGCAAGGGGTGAAAAGTGCATACTGGGTGATACAAAAATTTTATCAACCCTTTAAATTAAAATTTATTAATTTAATCACTCATAAAATATTTTTTTTTATTTTTTGAACAGAAAAAAAAATTTTTTTAATATTTTAAGGGTTGTTGATGATTTTATGACAAAAATTTTGTTTGTTTTTATTTTGTATCACCCGGTGAATGTGTTTAAGAAAGCGCAGACCACCGACCGTCGAAAAAAAAAGCGCGCGCGCGCGTGCTACACCCCCCGCGCACCAACCCTTAGCTGCGCTGGCCGCGGGGTAACCCTATCGCCGCCGCCTTGCAAGCCGGTTGCTCTGGGTAAGACACAAGATCGATATAACTCTTCCGTGGGGTGAAAGCTCTCGCGAGCGTGGGGTGCGCGCCGCGCCGCGACCCCTCACCGGCGAACTTAAAAACTCTCGCTCAACTCTTCTTCTCCTTCGCAGGGACGACGCTCCCGAAAAAAATACACGCCGGCGTCCGGAGTGCGCTAGCAAGAGAGAGGGTGAAAAAAATATCAAGTCGCTTTTTTTTTATTCTCGGCCGCGCGCACTTAGGAGGATAGAGCGTAATGCGAGACGCAACTCGTTCACGAAAAAATCTACCCCCTTTGAATATCAGCCACGCGCGCGGGAGAAAAAAATCATTACTTGTGAGCCACCCCCGAAGAAAAGAGAAAAATTACGCGCGTGGGTATTAAATGAAAATATTTAAGTTTTAATGTTTTTTGATATTAAAATTATTTTTGTTTTTGAAGTTTAGGGGTTGTTTTTTGTTTTTGTGTTTTTTTTTGTTTTTGAAAGATTGTTGTTTATTTTGAATATGATGTGATGGTGGAGAATGTTTGTGCGCTGCTTTGTTCATTAGCCGGGAGCGTTTTCGGGGCTGGAATTTTAATCAAATTGCACCCCTGCAGCCGGATTGCACCCCCATCTTGCGAATTTTCTTATCCTGCGCCTCATTTATCTTTCATGCGCCTGCTTCCTTCTTAGTTGTTGTTTTTTCGTTGTACATTAGCGTCGCGCACTTTCGGCTTGATTTGCCAAGGGGTAGTTATGCACATTCCGGCATCGTCGTCAACGTCGCGTCCCTCGATTTTACACGGATATGAATTATTGAAGACTTGCGATATTCTACTGCAGCGCATGATAACGAAGATAACAAGAGTACCAAAAGACATAAAATAAGTGAAGTAACATGAAAGATAACAGCTAAAAACTTTTAACTTAAAAAATTATTAAAAAAATTTAATTTTTTTTGTTTTGGATAGAAAATAGTTTAAGGGTAGTTTTTGTTATGTTTTGATCATATGTGAAGTTCTGAAACTGTTGAAAGTTCCCGCTTCCAACAACCTGATGAATGTGTACGGTGTGCACGCCGGCCGTCGTTCCTCTTCGCCTCGATTTCCACTCGCGGGGGTGGTGGTGGTGGTGGTTCTGATCTTGGGGGTGGCTTTGCACACATGTGCTTGCGTGCGCTCACATGTGCTCGCGGCGGGCGCGTGCGGTCGGACGATTTGCGGATTTCTCGAGCAGCGAAAAACGGACCAGAAAAAAACACATGTTGAACATCGATAAACTTTTATCACTTAAAAATCATCCCTTAACATAAAACAAGAAAAAAAAAATCTGATTTAGAAAAACTTAAAAATAAAAATGTAAATTTATACCGATGACAAGATATCAGCAATACATAACCTAAAATCACATAAATTGTAAATCATGACGTCAATAACCAGAGCAACATTATTCATACATGGCAGATAAATAACAATTAGGGATGATAGCATTGTTTTGTGTTTTTGTTGTTTTTCTTATTTTACATTTTGATAAAACATGAGTTATGTCGACATTTGACACTTGTAACAATAATTTATGAAAATTTCTGAAAAACTTGACAAAAACTCAACAAAACAAAAAATATTTAATGTTATATTGATTAAACAAGGGTGAAAGTCAAGTTTTTAGAAACAAAACGTTTTTTTCATGTCAAGGGTGACACCAACCCTTAATTTATACCCATGCATATTTTTTTATTCAAGGGTAGACTACGCAGATGATTTTTTTCGAACCGCGTGTGTCTGTAATTTTTTTCCACCCGGCAAAACTACCCCTTGCGTTTTTTCTACCCCTTTCCTATGACTATCACTAGTTTTGAATGCGTTTGTTATGCGTTTCCTACGCGACGCTGGCGCAGACTGCGCGTGTTGTCTGGCTAACTCCATCTCTAACTACCCTTAGCGTATTCTGCACCCCTTCTCTGTTTCTATGTTCATTTACGAAAAACGGCGTCTTCCTAACTTTGCACATTATCTTTTCTTAGACTCGTGCATCTCTTTCTCATCCACTTCATTTTTTTCTGTTTCGGGATGCGCTATCTCTCAATGGGGTTGTGTTTGTAAGGGTGGTTTGTTTCTCTGCCAGTGTGTGTGTGAGGTTGTGGGTGAACGTGTTTCGCGCGAGGGCAGCAAAGAGTTAATATTGATCCGTTTTTTTTATTCGAGTCACCCCCACGGTTTTTTTCACCCTCTGCCCGCTTCTTTTTTTTTCGCTTCTCTTCATCCCCGGATGAGTGTTACCATAGAAACTGTACAGCAGGTGCCAGCAAACACGCAACATTAGACATCATCGCGACGCCGTGGAGCGCGTAGGCAACCCCTGAAGACATTTCGGTGGCGGTGGTGGCGGCGGCGGCGGCGGCCAGGGGGTTTGGGAGGCGAAACGAACAGAAGGCGAAAGTTTGCTGCGCGTGTTAAAAGTAACTAGTAACGAGTTTCGCGCAAATGATTGCAGACTTTTTCTTGAACAACAACCGATTTTAAGTGATGAACTTTTTAGAGTTTTATTTTAAATTTATTTGATATTAAAATATAAAAAATAAAATTATTTTGTTGTTGCTTTGAGAGAGGAGGAAAAAGAAAATCATTTTCAATTAAGTTTCGCATTTGTTGGCGTCTTATTCGCATGCTTTGTGCGTTATCTCGCCTTGCGCTTTAATTATTCATTCATTAGCTTGCGGGGGCGAGACTGAAAGTGGCCATTAACATCCTGTTAATTGCACAAAGCGCGGCGCAGATTAATTAACTAATTGAAGTAGAAGCGCGCCGCCCTCGAATCAAGACATGAAAGGCAGCGTCTTTTCAGAGATTCGTAATTGTAATTGTAATCGAAATCATAATTGGAAACGCAAATGTTGCCGAGGTGTGTAAATTTATACCTACCTATCGAAGGTAAAACACGCAGCAGAAAAAATAACAAAAACAACACTGAATGTGAATTGAAATAAAATTACCGAAATGCGCACGCGAGAAGAAACACAAACGAAAAACAAAAGACAAACGCGTTATGTTTCACATTTAATTCGCATTCATTTTTAATTAAATCTTTGAAAGACTTTTCCGCGAAGTAGGAACAGAGATTTTGTTGGGCACCTGATAATAAGATAATTAATTAAAAATTAACAAGCAAAAATTATATTTTTTCTTCATAAAAACAAGAAATAATTCATTTTTCATTTTTTTTTCAACTTTAATTTTATTTAATTTTAATAATTTGTGTCTTTTGTCAAAAACTTTATCTCTGGCAACCCCAACATATGTTTTCTAATCGAATTTATTCATGCGCCACCCAGACACTAAATATTTCGGCATGAGCTTAACCTTAACCTCGAAAAGTCTGGTTTCGTCACGCTTGCAGTTTTTTTTTTCACTCTTTCCATGCAAGGGTTGAGAAAAATCGTTATCTGATCCGATTGCATCGCACATCTGAGCGCGTTTTAAATTTCATTAGGCATTTCGTGCCTCTGGTCGTAATTACCTGCACATTGCGCATTTAGCCTTGAGCAAACCAAACTTTAATTTTGAAATATTTTATTTTATATTCCAAGCACTTGGAAGTATAAATTCTGCTTAAACACACGATTCATCACTATTAGTTCCCGATGCATGCGATCCATGTGCTGATACGCGCTTCAGGGTTCCAAATTCACTGTGCATGTGTGCGTATGTTTAAAAATTCACCCTTTTTTATGAACGCATCGAAAGCATGATGAAAAAAAAGGGTCGCGATAGTTAAACTGTTTAACATATTATATACAGAGTATTTTTAAAGATATTTATACTCCAATATATAGTTGAAAGTTTTAATTGTTTTTAGAACACTCTGTATAATAAAATGTAATTTTATTGAAACATCACTCGTAATTTAAATTCTAAATTTTTGTATTTTGGGGCACACGTGGATAATGAAAGGTGGAACGAATTTCTCTTCAACCCCTTTTGTAGAAATTACTTTTTTAAGTAATTAAAGTTAATTATCGTGATTAGAAGCTTTTAAACTCGTAAAATACAAAAAAATACTAAAAATGTTTAAATAAATTTAATTAGTATAATATATTAAAATTTATAGATAAAAAAATATTACAAGGAGTTTTAGGAGAACAATCGTTGAGCATGTGTAAGCGGCGATACGGTGGATAGTAAGGGTTGTAAGAACGGCGTGTGGAAGTGATAGTAAAAGTGGTAGTAAAAGGTTCGCCCGAGCTTCGACTCAATCACCCTTAACGCCGATCAATTCGCCGATGTAGATTGCTGTGAGGTGTCCACGCGTCAACCACATAACCTCCACCCTCTTAGCAGAAAATTTATTCGTATCTTTAATAAATTTCTTTAAAATTTTATTTTTTGAAAGCTTAAACACCTTGTATATATCTATAAGTATTAATACTACTATAGATAAATAAATAAACAATGTAGATTGAGTAAAATTAGTGTTATTACTAACTTTTGAGGTTATTATAACAATTGTGAGGTTATAAACGCGTCTAATTTGCTTTTGTGTATTGTGTGTTGCATATATTATTACTTCGGATACTTATGAATAACAAATCGATCACGCACGTATTGCAGCATAGAAAAATATCGCTTCTTTTCATAATGACCTGATTTAATTAAATTATTTGTTGGAGAATTTCCGTGGAACCTTTCCTCAGCGCTTTTCATTCGTTTGTGCGTGACTCCTCGGGTGAGCCGACGCGGCGTCGGCGCCGTTACCATCGTTACCTTTCATTTCCCTCGCATTTCATCTCGCACCCCTTTTTTTCCTGTTTTTCGTGCTGTTTCGCCCTTGGATGTTGTTTTCCTCTTTCAATCCTTTCACTCATCAGTGCTGCGTGTTTTCCATCTAGAATCTGGATCTTTTTTTCGTTTTTTCTGCTTTCATCTCTTTGATATAGAAAAAAGGAGAGAAAAATAAAGGATGCTGAGAGTATTCCGAAAACGCGTTGTTCTACCATTTTCTCGGGTTTCCCACTCTGCTACTGCGCAAAATGCGAAAGGGGTAGATTTTACCCCTTTGGTTACCACGGGCGACAGCCTACTCCTTTATTTCCACCCTTCCCGTTTATCCTGTTTTCACGCAATGGTGGTGGAAGGTGTTGCCTGTTACTTTTTATATTTTCCAAGCATCAACGCGCGGCCATTTTGAATTCATTATATGATTATTTTCAATCATGTCCATCAAAATAATTTTTTCACAAAAACGGTTGAAAATTATTTTCAGTCATTTAAAGTTGATTTTTTGTGAATAGAAAAATTATTAAAATTGCAATACCCGCATAATTTGCATTTTTGAGTAAAAAAATTGACGTTTTGACTTGAAAACGTTTCGAATGTCATGCGATTTAAACGTTTGACAGCTACACGTCGATAATTGTAAAAGAATGTTAACTTGAGCATGCATATTCTGAGGGTGCGAAACTTTTCAGAACTCAATTGGGGTGCAAGTAGTGCATTTAAATGCACTCGACTTCAATGACATATCAAATGTTACACACATTCAGCGCACAATCGACGCAAATTACGTGCTCGTTAAATGTTTACAGGTTTTGATTTTTTTCCTGCACAATAATAAAACTTTACGTGGAAAAGTGAAAACCTTTTTATTTGAATATTTGAACGTTTATTTTTGGTTGTTTTGATGATAGTGGCATAATGAATGCAAGCAAATGATAAAAATTAATGTTAGACGCAATTAGCCGCCGCCCCGTTGAATAAATCACAATAAAACGTGATTAATTAAGCCGCGCACGTTTATGCGGGCTGTGCAGAGCAATTACAAAACGCACAACGGTTGGACTACCGAAAAATGTTAATGCGCGCACCGTTTTTCCTCTCTGCGCTGTAATTTTTAATTTTGTGTTGCGAGCGCCGTAAAATTGCGCGATAATTAATGACTTTAAGTGCTGCGCTTATTTTTGCTTAATAAATTTCACTTTTCGGACGCGCTCGGAGCGGCGTCACCTCGACGTGCTTTGTTTAATTTCCTTGCCGGCGAACAAAACGAGGCGCTGGGCGCGCGGGGGTGTTTCAAAATTTTTATTTGTTTTCGCGCTCCCGAAGCGGCAGGAAGAGCGGCTGCGGAAATTTTCTCATTTTCTCATTGCATTACTTAGCGGGCGGGCCGCGAAAATGAGAGAAGGGTAGAACGGAAGGCGCGCGCGCTACCCTTAAAAATACACGCTGCGGGAATAAAAAATAAGCGCGTCTCTTGCGAAATGAATACGAGCGGGGAAGACAAAACGACGGTGGCGGCGGCGGCAGCGGCGGCCGTAAAGGGGATGAGAGGGTGCGTGAAAGGAAGACGAAGAAAAGGGGAGGTTGCGGCGGAATAAGGGTTCCCTTTGGCGACGCCGGCAACGGCGGTGGCATGCTCGTAATTATATTTTTTAATTTATCTTCCTTACAGCTTCCCCCTTCTTCTACCGGGTGGCGGCAAAGGCAGAAGACGTCGAATACGAAAATAGCCCAAGGGTTGTTTTACGGATGGCAACACAAAAAATATCTAAGAAGTAAATGTAAAACGCGGTGAGTGAACTTATCTTCTTACTTACTCGTTGACAATCAACAATATATAATTAATTTAAATAAATTAAATTTATTATTGATTTTTCACTGATGATACAACACACAATGCATTAGCAAATGAAAATTTTCTACTCGTGTCTTACCCTTGCTTTTATCTTCTCGTGGAAAAAAGTTCCGAGCGCAAAAAGGGAAGCATATCTTAACCTGCGCTGCAGGAAGCCTAAACAAGAAGAAGAAGGAAAAGCTCGGGGGTGGAGCAGGCGCAAAAAAGTTGGTTGGTGAAAAAAAGGGGAAAACGAGCGAGGCTATTTCGTTATGAGTACAAACAAAGCCCACCACTTTTACTTCTTCTTTCTTCTGTCGCCGGTCTTCCGTCCTGCCGCCGCCGCCGCCGCCGCCGCTTATTATTATTATACTTTTACTTTGCAGACTTGAAGACATTGCTGCCGTCTATTGTGGTGCGGGCTTCCTCAGTTTCTTTTGCGCACACAAAGCACAATGAATGATAAAAGGATGAAAGTCGAAGATAAGACAACAGACCGAATCACGACAGCGGCGCGCGCGCGGAGAAAAAGAAGGAAGCGTTTTAAAAATTTAATTAAAAAATGCAAAGCGAGCCTAACGCACAATGATAAGACAACATACAGAAAAAAAACATGAAGAGAAAATGTCGGGAAAATTGGAAATAAAGGAAACACAACGGAGCGTAGAAACAAAGCGCTTTATGAAGTCCAACATCTAAAGTCCGAGCGGCAGACTTTTAAGGTTTTAAGCGGAGGCGACTGAGGAAATTTTAAAATTAAAAAAATTAACAAAATGCTTTTATCTTTGCTCGCGCTGCGTGCCAGCAAGGCTGTTAAAAGCACTTATTTTTTTTCTGCTTTGGCGTGCTTCAATTTTTGTTATGAGATTATGTTTTTTAAATGCTCGCGATTCTTACGTTGGTATTAAAAGTACATTAGGGCGCATTTTCCGCTTGATGAATCGATTAGTGATTCGCGTGGAATAACTTCGGATGACTACACGCGTCGTCTGCCAAAAATAATGCGCTTCAGGTATGCTTTTTGTTGTTTAGTCTAAGCGCTGGGATGAAATCAAGTCAACGAGACATGATTTTAACTTTGTATTACTTTATTTAAACAAAAATTGAATTTCTATTTTTATCTTCTCTTGTTTTAGGCAAAAATGGAAAATACACGTGCCTCTTATATAAATAACTCTAAATATGATTGCAATTTCTACAATTTTTTGTATTTTTTGAAAATTTTGAAAATATCGCATGGAAAACACCCTATATCTTATGACTGAGTTGGGCAATTCTAAAGATCTCTTCAGCAATCATAAGCGCAATAGTTGTCCTTTAATTTGGTATATAAGTTATTTTCTTAAAGTATCTAAAACATGCCTTAAAACGTCACCAAACTTATGAATTTTTTGAAATTTTCAAAAACATCGGGTGGAAAACACCCTGTATCTTTTAATTGGGCTAAACAATTTTAATGATCTCTTCAACATATTTTAAAGGAAGAGTTGCCCTTTTCATTGATATATGTATCCGACTTTTAAATAATACAGAACTTTCTCAAATTAGCCGTCAAAAAATCAAAATCTTGAAAAATATCATAATATTGATACATGTTATACAGAGTGTTTTTTATCCTAAGTTTATAGACCTTCCTATGGTTAAGTTTAGAATAAATTGCATACTAAATAAGGTATATTACCAAACAAAAAAAACTTTTATTCAATGTAAATGTAGCTAATATTTTTAAAAACAATTTCTGTTTAATCTCTACGCAATTTTCTTTTTTTCCGCACAAGTATTCCAGCGGTAGCTGGCAATTTAAACGTATGGGGTTGAGCCATGTCGTTGTCGTACCATAATGCGGCCCACTATGATCGCCCAAGGGAAATTAAACACTGGCAAAATTAACATTTTCAATGGCCGCGCTCGCCCTCCCGACCGCACTTTAACTTTACACTCACCGTTGACGGCGTCGGCGTCGTTTTCCTTTCTAAGGTGCGTCGCCTCCCACGATATTCAAATTTATAAACATGCAGGCAAGCACAGGTAATAAAAACGAAACAATATTAAACTCTCAATCATATTTTACAACATTTTGATCGGTAAATGTTTATAAGCTTATAGTTATTTTCTTTCGCATTTTTGGTTGAGGCACGTGTCGTTGGCCATATGTCGAGGCCAAAAGACATTTCTGGTGTTGGGTGTCAATCGCGTGCGGGCACATAAAAAAGCGTTACAGAATTAATTGCCGTACGGCGAGGGATGAAAGTCGTGTGAGAACACGGCGCGTAATTAGGGACTTTCTAATATTTTCACCGGTGAAATTTCATGTTGCAATAATCATATGCATTGTCGACATTGAGATGGCGTCTGTCGCGTGCTGGCATTCAGCGTGTGCAATCTACTGCGGTAATTTGTTGTTGATGGCAGTGTTTAGTGGATGCAATCGAGACGCAGACGAATAAACGTTACATGTGGACGAGGGAAGATCGTGTGCATAATTACGCGTGCCCACATGACACACAGAGACATGTGCTATTCTGCGCAGCGTGTATTTTGATCAATTGTTAAGAAGTGCGAAATGTATTCTGTAATTAGTAATATTGCACTGTGAATAATTGAATTAATTATTATTATGTATTTAGTTCAAAATTTGTGTTAACTTCTCTTTAGAATTATTACTACCAAAAGACAGAAAAAAGAGAAATCTTTTCATCAATCATTTTTTTTATGACGAAATCTTTTATTTCAGTCAAAATAAAATGTAGCTTTTGTAATAATTAGAATTTTTAAATTCAAAATTTACGTTTCAAAAGACAAGTTCCATGCATAATACGAGTACAATTCGTTTTATATTCTGCACTACCACACTGAACGTATCAGTGTTTACAAACAAACAAGTTTCTTATCTCCTGCAATTTTTGTGCGGTCGCCACGCGGTTGGCTTGCATACCTCGTCAGTCTGATTTTTGTCGTCAGGTGATCTGCACGCACACTTTCTTCACAACAATTAGAGTGCCGTAATTTTCCTTCGCGTTATTACGTAATATTTCTGAATGCCTCTTCGATTGTGCGCGAATGATGTGCGGCGTTCGTTTGTTATGTAGTCGTATATTACAAGTGACGTGATAGTGGATTTGATAACATTCTTCAATCGACGTTGTGTTTGGTGTTGGTTACTAAATTAATCGGATATAAATCGCCCCCATGTTGATTCTTATCATTAAGAAAGATTCATCAGGCTCGTGTTAGTATTTTTTAACTAAACAGCACTGATTGTTTATTTTGTGTTGATTGTTAATTATAACATAATTCAATTGTATGAAATATTTTTGTTTTAATTTGTGTTTTCGTTTAGTTACAGCACTCGTTGTGCCTGGCAGTCCGATAAGCTGTACACTGGTAAGTTTATAATTCAATTATATCTTCCGGTCAAATTTACATTTGCTGTTTATAAACAAGTTTTCTATTTTTCACGTAATATCTTCCTGTGACAAAAATTAGACGACCGACACGGTCAGACACAAGCAGACTTGCACTTTTAGTCACGGTTTTGGTCCTTTTATCCCACGAAATTAAATTATTTTAAATTTTTATCTAATGCAGAATTCCTCAATCTTTCATAACTTTCAATTCGTTGGTTGCTATCGCTTTTTCAAACTATAATTGTTTTATATGTCAAAAATTGCAAAATGTCACTTTTTAGCACTTTTAGTCGCGTTTTTCGACCTTTTACTGTTGGAAATATAATTACTTTATATTTTTATCTGATA